AGAGACAGATATACATCTAGTGCTTGTACGCAGCAACACTGATTCTACTTTATTATTATAATACAAGTTTCGACCTCAGTCCATCAAATTACGTTATCCATGGAAATAAAACAACGTACCGGTATACCTTTTCTAGAAATATTGCTAGATAACTGTGACCATCACTCTTTCAAAACACGTGCACTGTCCTATACCTAATTTATTTCCTGCACCTTTTCACTTATGTTTTACCTTTTATGAACTAATTAACATTTTGGAAGCAATACGGTACCCTTAAACTATTCGGCCTGTAGACACCCTCTCCCTCAGTGGCGGACTGTAGGGTCAATTGCAGGGTATGCTAGGTATTGGCATATCTAGGATGTACAGGGCCGCACGTCCTCCCCCTACCCCTGAAAAAAAATACTCGATTCCCCAGTTGCTATCGTTATCCCTTCATAATCACCGATCCCCCACTTTACCTTCCTAACACCATCAGCTCCTTTCCATTTCAAGACCCGCCATTGATGCTAGGGCCTGCTAGTGATAGGAAAAGTTCATAAGCCTACTATATACAGAATCAGGTTGCGTTCTAGTTAAAATACAATGCATGTTATTTTAATACCGGCATGGTTGTCTTCTCTTCAAAAGAATTCTTATTCCTGTATTTTAACAAATTTCAATTCAAATAATAATAATTCAAAGATTCTTCTATACCGCTCATATGTATGTAAATATATTTAAACTTTAATTGATTCAGATTAGCTTATAGATAAATTACCCGATAGACAGTGGAGGTCCCGATTTGTGAGAAGAGCATGCGCACATACTCTTGGAAGCATTGCTTCCATTCCAGTGTTAAATTGGCTATTCTGACGCCACCACACAGTTGTCACAATAGCAAATTTAAGCGTTGTAGGGTATGTACAAGGCAAGCAAATATATGCAGTGCATACCCTGGCTAAAACAAATTAAAAAAATATAGTAGTACAGTTTCTCCGTTTTATTTAGCATTTCTTAAGTCAGGACCTTCTATATACACCCTAATTTTTCCTAGGATAAGTCACAGTCGGGCCAATCGCATCGTACTTAGAATTTCCGCATGGCTGGTCTTCGATATTAGTCAATCACTATTCAGTGAGTCAATGGAAATCAGAGCATCGTTAATCGAGTGATGGTATCTTGGGCGCAAACGCAATATCGCGCAATCACTATCGTACGGTAATCCAGCAACAAACCCCAGATTAGCGTACGCCACTGATTTACGACAGTCGCGCATCAGTGATTTTGAACTCATCCAGGATTTGACCAATCAAAATAAGCCTAGATGTAAACATAAAATAAAATGCGCGAATACGAATACGAATATTTCGAGCGAATACTTAAGCCGGTTTTCCACTAGGCGAATTTATTCGCGCGAATCGAAAGCGTCGTTCATGCGTATTTACATGTTTATCAGAGTTTTCGCTTCAGTGAAATTGGTAGTTCGAACTGTTTCTATTATTTGCGAAGCGAAAAATGTTCGCAACCAAGTATGCGTGCGTTCGATTGGTTCGAACCAACCAAGCGTGTTGCTGATTGGTCCGAGAAAAAAAACGTACGACTTCAGGATACAAATGGCTCTCAGATTCATTGGTCCGGATCAGGAGTCCGGATTGGAAATCGTACGAATTTGAAGTGAACAGTCTTATTATTTTCCACTGAACCCATTTTCCACGATTTTTTCTCCGGACTCCGGACCGGGATCCGGGCTTGATGTGAACGTAGCCGGTTTTCCACTAGGCGAATTTATTCGCCCGAATCGAAAGCGTCAGTTTATGCGCATGCACATTCACATTCCTATCAGAGTTTTTGCGAAGCGAAAAAATGAGCAACCAATCAGAGCACAGGAAGCGAACGGACGCTTTGATTCGCGCGAATAAATTCGCCTAGTGGAAAACCAGCTTTAAAGCCCCATTCCCGGCAAAATTTCAGTTTTTAAGAAAAATCTAATTTTTGTATAGGCCTAATGTTATAAAGATTTATAAATATAATACGGAATTACTAGTTTAACTGAATTTAGACATTCCTAAGAATGAAAAAAAAGTAAAATAAGACTGAAATTTGATTTTTTTTTTTTTGTGTTCCACACAAAAAATAAATGCGGATGAATTTTTCATTTTGATTTTGCGATAGGTCGTGAGAAGAAATATCGTAGGCGCCGAAAACATTAGCCTATCCAACGCTGCTAGGCTAGGCCTGCTGCTGGGCTAGGCCTAGCCTTACCTCGATTTAGGTTCTGTTATCACACATAA